CTACGCCGTTGCAAGAGCCTTCGTGGACGCGGAGACCCGTCTCCTTGCGAGGCTCGGCGGCCCTGACCAGCCCAGCCCCCACCCCGGCGCAGGAGGCAAGCCAGGAGGCAAGCCAGGAGGCAAGCCAGGAGGCAAGCCAGGAGCCAGCTGGGTCCCAAGGAGCTACACCAGCCGCGAAAAAGAAGTTCAACGGGAGGCAAAGGCGGAGGAAGAAGGAGAGGGAGGCCAAGCTTCTTAACGTGAGTTCGGGTAGAGCCTTTCACAGTCAGCTGCAGTGCTACGGCTTGGTTTAGAGAGGACGTTTGATACACAAATAAATAATTTCCGAAATACTGCAGGTACAGTCCGATCATGCTGTCGTTGAGTCAGCGCCCACCCCGGTGCAGGAGCAGGAGACACAGCCACCACTGGCGCTGGCCAGCCCAGACCTGGCTGTAACCACAACCACCGCTGAGGCTGAGACACAGGAACAGTCCCAAGCAGCTGCTGTGGTTCAGCAAAAAGCAGCCGCAAGCCCTGTTACCGCGCGGGATGCACATGCACAACCTGTGGTGAGTCATTATTATGTCTAGATTTGGATGTCTACGCCATTTACAAAGTTTAATTAATTAAATCCGTCTGAAAATAGCCTGAGGGAAGGGTTATGCGACCACGGCACAGAGTGTGCTACGTCGAGCCTCTTGGGGGAACGCCACCACGCAAACGGACCAAAAGAACAGCCGTCGTCTCTGTGGTTAGTGAAATGCAGCTTAATGGATTAATTCGCAAAGGGAAATTGGACATTTTGCACATCCTTGAAAATTCTGCAGGAAGAGTCTGATGATGCTATCATTGAGTCAGCGCCCACCCCGGTGCAAGAGCAGGAGCCACCACTGACGCTGGCCAGCCCAGACCTGGCTGTAACCACCGCTGAGGCTGAGACACAGGAACAGTCCCAAGCAGCTGCTGTGGTTCAGCAAATAGCAGCCGCAAGCCCTGTCACCGCGCGGGATGCACATGCAAAACCTGTGGTGAGTCATTATTATGTCTAGATTTGGATGTCTACGCCATTGACAAAGTAGAAGCCTCTGGCTTCTTCCGCTTCCATACCTGACAGGGTCCGGGTGGGCCGCCGTCTCCACACAGCTGCTTGGCGGGTTGGCCTAACCCTGCCGTGCGGGGGACTTTTCACGTTCCTTGCGGCTCATCGAACGAGAGGGCCAAAAATACGTCGAAATGATGACTTTTTGACGAGCCGATGTCGACTCGACGAATATATCGATGCGACGTTTCTGCCCAGCTTGGCCCCTTCATCTTTAATTTTTACTTCCTATTGAAATATGAAAGAAAGCCATGCCACTCAAATCCACATCATATCTGCTTGCACAATACAAAACGCTGAATTTGACTTTAAAAACGACCTTTTCTTTGAATACCCGCAGGAGCCGGTACCCGGTGCACGGAGGCCTTTCGTACCCTTCTCCAAGAGGACAAAGGACCCCCCGCGTGCAAAAGTTACCCCTCTACCCGCTATTAAAAAAAAAACACGGCCAGAACCTACCCCAAAAGGACCTTCTGCGAAGAAGAGGCGGCGGCAATAATATAGCAATGTAGTCAAAAATATAACAATATTGAAATAATTTGGGATGCTCCCGTTACTTTTTACAAGACAGTAATTAATCTCTAGTTGTTTTTTTCATCAAGTTTTTTCCAATCTCTGAGATATGTCAGAAAGAGTAAAATGTCTCAAAAGTTGTATTAT